AATAAATAAGATACCTAAAAACCTAAAAAGGGCCATAGCTATTATGATTATTTATGGGCATAGGCATATAAATGGTAAAAGCTAGTGGATGCCGTGTGGAATTGTATAATTGTGTTTGAGTAGCCAAAATAAAATAAAAATCTGACTTCTCATAAACATTGTTTTAATTATTTTCGTCATTGTGGTTTTTTGTTTCAATTATTTAATACTGTTTTAATCAATATTTGTATAAAAATAAATATTCCCGAGTAATTAAAATACAAAGATAGTTCAATATTCAAAAATTAGTCTATAAATATTTACGAAATACATAAAAACATAAATAATGCATTGACGCATTTCTATCTCAATTATTTGAAGTTAAATTAAGTCCGGCGAAAAGGAAATTTATTAGAATTTTTTCGGTTATAAAATTTAAAATAAAAAGATTTAAAACAAAATTAAAAAAATAGTAAAATTAGGTAAATTACGTGTTTAACACCTAAACTATTAATTTTCAAAATCATACCTAAAATTTAGTTTTATTTCATTTTAGTATCCAGATTAAAATTTAACGTTAAATTTTGAAAAAAAGAGAAAGAAAGTTTAGGTACTAAAAAAGATCAAAACTGATAGTTTAAGTACTAAATGCGTTAATTTTTTAAGATGGGTACTAAAATGAAATGAAAACTAAACTTTAAGTATGATTTTGAAAAATGTGAAAGTTTAGATATTAAAACAGATCAAAACTGATATTTTAGGTACTAAATATATAGTTTACTCTTAAATTTAATGTAAGATAAGATAACATGCATGGACTGCCCTCATATTTATTACTGTACAATTGGGCTTCGAGAAACATATCTCATGGCCCAAATATATATATATATATATATATATGGTTAAAAACATTATTTATCATGCATTTGGTTTTCTTAAGTAAATTTTTAATATAATTTTCGTGTCTCATCTAATTAAATTTGATGTGCCTACAATATTATAATATTGTATTTTGACATTCTATTATTCGAATAATAGTAGGTGAACGACCATGAACGAGAGTATGTTCATGTTAGTTCGTTTAACTTTAATCGAACAAAAACAACTAAACGAACAAAATTTATTGTTTGTGTTCATTCATTAAGAATTTTAGTGTGTTCGTGTTCGTTTGTTTAAATGAAAAACAAACACAAATGAACGAACATAAACGAGCGAACATAAAATTAATTGGGTATTTTTTTCTTTAATTGATTTGAGTATTTTTTTATTTGGGTTTAAAATTGATTGAATTTAAAAATATTATTGAGTTTAAGGTTAAAATTTATTAAGTCTTTATATTTCAAACGTGTCTGAAGAACATAAACTAGCATAGATGAACGAACATGCGCGAACATAAACAAATGAATGTAAGTGAACATAAACGAACGAACATAAGCAAATGGATAATCGAATGTTCTCGAATTTAAATGAACGAACAAGCCTTTTGATTGAGTTTGTTCGTTTAATTAAACGGACATAAAATCTTGTTCATGTTCGTTTGTTTAATAAATAAACGAATTTTCCGCCGAATAATTCAATGAACGTTCGATTCGTTCGCGGGCCTAAATAATAATTAATTGGTTTATTTTTTTCATCTTTTTATTATTTTTATACTTTACGTATGTTAATGTCCCAAGAAAAAAATTATAATGTTTTCTATAAGAGAGAAAATAAGTAAAAGTAAATAAATAATAGCACTTGTTAAAGAAACACAAGCAATTTCACTACATTTTATAGAGGGGTCATTTAAGAGTGACTAGACAAAACATTAACCTTCCACAAAGAGATAATTAAGTGCAAGGAGATTGTTGTTAGTACCGTTTACCGGCGCCTCAAAGAGACGAAGACGTGTGTATGGTAACTATATCTTAATTAATTCAGAGTTTTGCCTCCGACAAAATTAATGTTGTTACCGTTTTAAAACCTTTAGAATTGGTGTAGCCTTTGAACAATCACAGAATTGAAGGCTGTCTAATGCATCCATAAAACACTACATGCGTTTACTAGAGCCAAAAACTAAGAAATTTACTAAGAAACAAATTTAAATGGTAAGCATTTTGATATTGTTTAAATAAGGAGTTTGAGTTGTTGTGCATGTAAAAAATATTTGTTAAGAAAGTCATCCATTAAAACCAGATGTGGGACGTAGAACCATAAATCGATTGTTGATGGTTCACTCTTAATTTAAACGGAGAACTATAACCCACTGTTCATAGATATAAAAATGACCGTTGGACTGAAGATAGAGATAAACAAGCATCGAAAAATGTAGAGAGGGAAACAGGAGAGACAATCTTCCCTCTCCAACCATAATTAATTGGTTTTTATATTGATTCTTAGTAACGCTCTCAAGTATAAAGTTATCATGGTTATTTGTAGGTTACAAACGAATAGATCTAATTATCATCTAGTAAATTTGATATTGATAAATTATGTGACTTTATTAGTGATCATGGTTATTTTTAGGTTCGGATGGACTTCAGGCGGATCTCGTTTAGATCGGGTCACATCATTGACAGATAAAATTCAGGTCGGATCTCTATTAGATACAAATTGAGTTTAAATAGTGTTAATTTTTATTTTTAGATTAATTAGTTTCGTCTTTCGCGAACGTTGAATTACAATTTGTAATTGTATATGATTTAGAGTAAATTACTAAGAATATAAATAATCATGGTTCTATTTTATGAAAAATACAAATTTAAGAATTAAATTGAACAAATATGAAATTAAAAATAAAAATTTAAATAAATTAAACAACACACATTGATGAGGGATCAAATCGAAATAATTTTAAATTGTGAGGTTGAAATTAATACAAAAATAATACTAAATTATACCCATTTAAAAATATATGGGCCAATTTAAAAATATAAATAAGTAATAAGTATGAGTCAATTTTAGATGCAAATAAAATTTGGAGGACTAAATTGAACAAATATGAAATTACAAATAAAATTTAAATATATTAAACAACACAAAAGTGATCAAATCGAAATAATTTTAAATTCTGAGATTAAAATTAATACAAAAAAGTACTAAATTATACCCATTTAAAAAGTTATGGCCAATTTAAAAATAGAAATAAGTAATAAGTATGGGTCAATTTCAGGTGCAAATAAAATTTGGAGGACTAAATTGAACAAATATGAAATTACAAATAAAAATTTAAATATACTAAACAACACAAAAGGGATCAAATCGAAATAATTTTAAATTTTGAGGTTAAAATTAATACAAAAATGTACTAAATTATACTCATTTAAAAAGTTATGGGTCAATTAATAAATATAAATAAGTAATAAGTTGAGAAAAAAATTAAAACAACTAATATATATATATATAATATAAACTATATAGTTTATATATAAAGTATATGTATTATGTATACAAACTATATAGTTTATATTTTATCTATATAGTTTATATATATTATGTATAAAATATAAACTATATATATCATGTATAAACTATAATACTATATAGTTTATATATGAACTATTGAACTATATAGAAACTACATAGTATACATAAATTATATATGAATTATATATAAACTATACAATTTATATTTATATACTATGTATAATTATAAATTAATATATATTGTATAAATTATATAGTTTATTAATATAAATTATATAGTTTATATATATAGTATATATGGTTTAGGGTTTAGGGTTTATACTTATATTTATATAAACTACATACTATAATTTATATTTACATACTATATTTTATACTATTTATATAAACTATAGTTTATATTTGTATACTATATATATGAACTATAGTTTACATATGAACTATATATATAAATATATATTCTAAGGTTAATATTTATATATGAACTATAGTTTACATATAAACTATATAGTTTATATACTAACTATAGTTTAGATATGAACTGTATATATAAATTATATAGTTTACATATGACCTATATATATATACTATAGTTGATATTTATATACTATATAGTTTACATATGACCTATATATATACTATAGTTTATATTTATATACTATATATTATATATATAAACCATATATACTATATAGTATAATTTACATATGAACTATATATAAAAATCCTAAACCCTAATCTATATATTATATAGTTTATTAGTATATATAAACTATATAGTATATATAAACTATATATTATATAGTTCATTAGTATATATAACTATATAGTATATGATATATACAAACTATATATTATATAGTTCATTAGTATATATAAACTATATAGTATATATAAACTATATATTAATTTATTAATATAAACATATATATTAATTGAAAGAATTGAAAAATATATAAGGATCAAATTGAACAAATTTTAAATATGAAGCTTAAATTAATAAATTATAACATTAAATTTGGATTAATATGAAATATGAAGTTTAAATTAATATATTAAATCATTAAATTTGGACTAAATTGAATAAATTTAAAACTAAAAGACAACACTACAATGTCAAATGAAGTTAAAAAAACACGCGGGTTTTCTCCCTCGCTTAAGCCACAAGTCTACACCAATTATGGTGCCAAAATCAGTATCATTTCCCGCCTGATGATTTTAACATAACCATGGCTTCCGATTCTTATCCAAAATCAGCATCATTTACACGCGTGGTCTCCGTCAACTACCCCACCTCCAAATCCTTCTCATTTTTCCAATTCAGCAACTACCCCAACTCCATCTTGGTCCACCAAGCGTGGGCGCTACACAACCACTTCCCCGACTCCTGCTGCTGGCTGTTTTAATGTTTTTTCCCGCTCTTATTTACCAGGTGATTATGGACTCGAGTATCACGTATCAATCACTTTGCAACATTTTTGCTCCTTCGTTATGGACTTACGGTAGTTGTTTGCTTAGATATTATATTGACTTCATCTGATCTTGTTTCCAGCCACAATTTCTTGATCTAGCATTTGGTGCAGCTGGTAATCATCTTGTTTCCTGTCAAGTGGGTCATAAAGTTGTAATCATCTTGCTTTTATGCTAGGCTTCAATGGTTGGCCATAAGTATGGTGTCCTTAGGTGGAGAAAAACTGGCAGTAAGGATTTTCCTATTCTGTTTTCTTTCTGTCTACTTTGATTGTTTTTTAATTTTTAAGCTTTCCTTTTTAGGAGATACCTGCTAATTCTAGCAAATTTCTTACACTTTAGAGAAAACTATTGAAGGCACTACAGCTGGTATAACATCTGTCCTCGCTGCTTGCTTGGTTCTGGTTCCACTTTTGGCATCCACTGGATACGTTCTAACTCAGGTTTCTCCCCCCCCCCCCCTCTCTCTCTTTCTCACACTGACATTCTTATGTTGACTGAGATATTCATCATTAGCACATCTGTGGTAACTTAGCCTGGAATGAATTTGTTCACTTAAACACCCTACGTGGGTACTTCAGGTAGTTTATTTATTTATTTATTTCTTCTCGTTTTCTTTTAAATGATCTTGTTAAGTTGTTCGAATTAGTTTCGTGGGTCTAATTGAGTGCTTGGATTATTGTTACATTGCAAATATTTGATTACGTAAATCTCAATTTCCACAGCACTGGCTCCCTATTTTAATAGCTATGACCATAAACGGTCTGTTGGAGGCCTACACAACGCAACTTGATAATGCTTTTATACCACTTGTCTTCTACAGCCTCCTTTGTTTGTAAATGCATACTTCAACCTTCCAGAAAGTTTAAACAGGTGAGAATTCCTTACACGCTTCCATCTAGATGTTTTTTCTTTTTTATTCTTTAGTAGATATTACTAACTGCCATCAGGGAATACAAAGAGTCTGTTGCATACCATGCCCATTGTAGTTTCAAAGTAATCCAGAATTGCTCGTAAGATGAGCCTAATGTTTTATACTTTGTTGGACTTGGCAGTTATAAGCCCTCAAAAAGGGGTAAGAATGTTTAATGTTAAGCTGTCTTTTTGATCTGATTCTAACATCTGGTTAACATTTGGTGTTAATGAAATTGCAGTCCTTTGTATAACTCGAGAGTTGTGCTTCGACAACTTACTAGTGCTCAAGCTCAACGCAGGGGAAGGCATGTAATTGAGGTCTGTGCAGCAATCGATGTAATTTTTTACCCCAAAGTTCAGTATCTTTTTGTGTTGAATGTTGATGCCTTGTGTTTGAATATTGCAGGTGTTGAAAAAGCTTGTTTGTCGCAGAATCCTCTACCATTCTTACTCCATGCAAGTTTATGGTTATGTATCATCACATAAAAGTGGCAGTCGTAGCTCATTAACTCTTGTCCATGGGGTATGCCCTTTATATCCATTTAACTCTTTTAGTACTATTCTTTTTCATGTATACTGCATTATCTATCCAAGCTTCCTCCCTGAGTATGTTGTTTTGCCTTTGATGCTTGTATACCAATACAAATAACTCCTTTTTGTACTTCTTCTGAGTGGGTTAAAACTATTTTTTTTATGTTTTTATATATACATGTTTTGCAGTACCATGATAGCTTTTCATTAAGACACTGGCTTCAACAACCCAACTGGCTTCCAACATTAGAAGCAACTCTTGCATTGGATGAAGAGTCTGTCAGGAGGGTAGGAGATGACTCAGTTGGGGACCAGTAGTTTCTCGTCAATTGAGGCTTATTAGAATATTGATGAGAGACCTCGTTGTCGATTAGGTTACACCATCAATTTGTGAGGTCTTTTCTTGTGGATAAAACTGGTAGACTCGGTGTTATATGTGTTTGTATAGATAGGAATTGGTAGAACAATGGGAACTCTTTGATCTAATTCTAATATGATGAAAGTTTTATAGCAAAAATTCCTATTATTTACTTTTTTTACGGTATTACATGTGGTAGTATAGAAAGTGGGCATTAAAAGATGTGTACTCTGTTTTTCATCACTTCTCCAACTATAAATCATCCTTCAAATCTTTCACTTTTCTTCGTCTTCAATCTCTTGTTCTTTACAGTTTTCTCTCTTACAAGATGAGCTAAAATCAAAATGAACTTGGGTTAGTCATTTAGTCTCCAATTTCATTCACATTGTTGAAGTTAGGTTATGGGTTGTGGGCCTTTTCCTTATAGTTTTTACTTTATTTTCCTAATTTAGAGGCTCAAGTTATTTTATATAATATTATTATTTTTATATAAATTAAACTATATAATTTATATAAATTAAACTATATTAATTTTCCTTTGCATTATTAATAATGTTTTATCTAATTTACATTTAAATAATTTTATATAATAGGTTTTTTATTAATATAATTATCATAATAAATATTTTATTATAATATTTAAAAAGTAATCATATTAATATTTTAATTACATCATATGCTAAAAAACTTATAATTTTATTAAAATCTTATAATTTTGTCCATGGTAATATATAAGTCAGGTAAATATCAGATCAGATCATTAACAAGTCGGATCATTTACATGTCAGGTTAAAAACAGGTCAGGTTGAAAACAGATCAGGTTGAAAACAGGTCGGGTAATACCAGTTATTTACCAGGTCAATCTCGGGTTCGGGTTCATATCAGTCGGATGCAGTTCGGGTTCAAATATCATATTTTCAATTCAATTCAGGTTCATGTCGTTCTCAGGTCGGATGCAGGTCGGGTTCGGATCCATAATTTCCAGGTCTAAATAGGGTTTAGGTTAACACCAGTTCCGACTCGAGTCGGTTTGGATCGCCACAGTGCAGCTCAAAAACAGTTTTAACTCGAGTCGATTTTAGTCAGTTTTGCCTGTCGGGTCAACTTTTTACAGCCTTATTGGCTTGGGTATTTACTTGCGTGCTTAGACTTCTAAGTTGCTGGAAATTAATATAAATCGGGACTGTCATCGCTACATTTTGTTGAAAATGGAGGTTCGTGTAGATTTGAAATTCTATTTATCCTTTGAGATTCTAGTAATGTACGATTCCATTATTAATTTGATTTACACTAACCGAATAATCTCAATAGTAAAGAAATTATTATTTTTTGCAGGTTCGAACATTAAGAATGTCAAGACGTTCAATGTCAAATGATTAAGAGATATTTTTTCAAATTTTGCCTTACTAGTATTTCACATAAATCTATTAAATACGAAGATTAAAATTATTATCATATCAAGACACATGATTAATGTATTTAATATTTGAATGACCCAATTATAATAATATTTTAATTGAAATATTAAATTATAAAAAAAATGCCACCAATTTATAACTAAACTTTAAGAGTGATCTAAACTGTATCGAAGAAGTTGAACTGTTTTTCTACAAGCAAAAAGCCAAAGTGAGTTGGATTAATGAAGGGGATCAAGGGACCCGTTTCTTTCACTCTATGATGGCAAGTAAGAGAAAAAAACAACACAATCAGGGTTCTCTACAATCAGTCTGGTGCTAGACTTGACACGTTAGAAGATATGTCTAATAAGGTGATCAGTTTTTTTTCAAAAGCAATTAGGGGTCACTAACTTGAATGTCATCGGCAGAAATGTTGAAACAATTAAAGGTCTCCTGAATTATACTCTTCCTCTGGAGGCTACTGATGATTTATGTAGGGGGTGTCTGATATGAGATAAGGGAAGCTATTTGGGGGCAAAGAAATGAAAAATCCCATGGACCTGATGGTTACAATCCTTTCTTCTTCAAAACAGCTTGGCCTATTATTGCTGAAGATTTCAAATCTTCCATTAGGTACTGTTTTGACAACTCCTTCAATTTTCCTGCTTTTAATACGACAGTTGTTGTCCTTATTCCAAAGGTCCCTAATCAAAATATGGTCAAAGACTTTAGACCTATTTCTTGTTGCACTGTGATTTATAAGACAATCACAAGAATTTTAGTAAGGTGTATGTCTGTTGTATTCCCTAGTATGATTTAAAAAAATCAAACTGCTTTTGTAAAAGGGAGAAGCATTGTAGATAATATACTCTTTTTCCAAGAGTTTGTTAGGGGCTACAATAGAAAGAATATATCCCCTCGATGTGCCATGAAAATTGACTTGCAAAAGGCATTTGATTCTTTGAATTGAGAGTTTATTGCTGTAGTGTTTTATGTTTTTAGGCCTACCTAACAAGTTTATTGGTTGGATTTGGGCATGCTTCAGAAAACCTAGCTACTCTATTGTGTTTAATGGCCGCTTAGTTGGCTATTTTAGGGGTGCTAGAGGAGTAAGGCAAGGTGACCCCCTTTCTCCTTATCTTTTTGTCCTTGCCATGAATGTATTGTCTAGCTTATTGAAAGTGGCAGCTCTAAAAGGAATTTTCAGTTTACACCCCAAGTGTATAAGGATTGGCCTAACTCATCTATGTTTTGCTGATGATTTACTTATTTTCTGCAAGGGATCTATTGAATCTTTGGCGTCTAATTTATTTTGGATATATTTTACTCTCTGTCAGATTTGAAACTAAATGCTAGCAAATGTGAGATATATGTTGTGGGTAAACAGGCACCTGAGCTTTGCTGGCATATTGTAATTGGTGCACGCTGTATTATTCAACATCGCAAACTACTGGTGCAGGCATATCATGTTGCCTCTAGTGGTGATAAAAAAAATTGAGCAATTATTCTCTCGATTCTTCTGGAAAGGAGCCGACGTGTCACAATGACATTTTCAAACATTTTTCTTCTTAAAAATGACTAGAAATTTAAATTCCTAATTCAAGAAAATGATTACTTTTCATTTATTAAAATCAATTGATTTTACACAACATATCAGAGCTTATACTATTTAAATCTTTAGACTACATGCCAACTACACTCTATATGACCACATACATATACTCAGCTAGGATTCTAATCTGATTTGTGAAAAGAAGAATTTGACCTATCTTGCTCCTCTTTGCTTCTCTTCTTGCTTTCCGGAACCTACATGTAAAACACTCACACACTATAAAACATATAATATAAACTATAACTTCTAACAATGCATGAGTAATTAATGATATCATCACATACATCCTCATATCCACTTTCATAAAATATATACATGCATACACAAATATCATCATATCATATATGAGTGTTTACTATTTCATATTCTTATAATAATTTAATTTACACCACCTAGCTTATATCACATTCTACTATCATAATTTAAATCGTTTAGTTACATATTCCACATAGAAACTATAACATATGCAATAAATGAAACTCATACACTCATATCCATTTGCTCAATCACATATAACAATCATATTAAGTTTAATTATATTATCTCTTTATTGACCCATGTACACTTTGAAGAACTAAAATTATGTGAGTTCATTGAGGTTGTACACTTATGTTGTCACCACAGCTCGAATAAATTCTCACTAGGGGCACTGAATATTTGTCTCGAATGACCACTATGTCCCGAAGGACCACGTAGAACCCTCGACTCTTGGCATGCCAACTATACCTCTAGTTCTCATAACACGTAACATGGGTATAATTATTATGTTTACCATATATTCACATAATCATATCACATAGAAACATATTTTTATAGTTTCTTATCATATCACTCATATCGCATGGCTTATCTCTTGTGATCTTGTACTCATATCACTTATATTCACATAACTCATATCCACATGGCTTATACCCTTTTCACACATAGTCACCTAGGTCCACATTTATTTAGCTTACTTCACCTTTCATATATTCATATAATTCATTATCACATAATTGATATCTTAATCACATAACAATAACATACATTCACACCGATCATATAACATGTACAATAATATATCACACATATGCTCATATCAATAATATGCTTATATGCATGATTTTATGTATGCTAATATAGGAAATAGACTTGTCACAAGTCTTATTTTCATTCATTATCATATACTAACTAATATGCACTCACCTGGCCTCACTAGTCCATACCAATCTTTTATCTCTTTATCGATGATTGTTGCTTGCCGACTTGTCCAGACATTTCCCTCGATCGATATCTACATAATCATAAATATTAGACACCTATCAGTATTCCCAATATAATGATTCTAATTCTTTATTTTATTAAAATAAAGGAAAGGTTAGTTTCATTCTTATTTAAAGTAGGTATCGGTACCCTCTATAGGGTATCGATACATCCCTTCACTGAGGTATCAGTACACTGCCTAGGTATCGATACCTAAATTACATTCGATAATTTTTCGTTTCAAGGGGGTATCGATACCATCCTTTAGGTATCGGTACCCTTTGAATATCTTCCTGAATTTGACTCTTGAGGTATCGATACTTGTTGAATGGGTACTGACACCCCTTGCCCAGAAATCCCTTATTGAACCCGA